GGATGCACCTTCTAGTCATGTCAGGTAAAATTCAAGACATTGTGACTTTTTAACATTAACAATACCTGTCGGTCCGGTCTTAATTCTAACTTCTTCTCGTAAAGATAGACAAATTCTTGACCGAAACTACTGAATCTTTGCATCATCAGGGTGTTACAAGCTTTCTGCAGGTGAGACCAATACAAAGTTAAGCCGTTCCTGCGGCTTGAGGTGCATTCTTCCAATGTGAGCCGCCGTATTGTCTCTATATTAAAGTGATGCCTGATCCAGGACGCAGGGCAAAATGTAGTTTCCTTCAAGTGGAATCAGGAAAATATTCTGTATTTTCCTGATTCCACTTGAAGCACAGCAAGCCATATGTATAGCAGTTTGATAAACTTTAAAGATGCTGCCTAAGCAGCATAACCACACAGAAGGAATGGCGGTGTGTGGCTGTTACAAGCATATATGACCCGTCATACATTGTGACTCTAGGGGATGCTGATATGTACTTCTCAGTAGGGTTCTTTAGGTTTAGATATTAATTTTGTGAAATTAAATTTACATATGAATCCTGTGGAGGTAGATACTGCAGGTTTGGTTAATGGGGATATTTGCTATACTTTCAGTAAATCTTTCTGTAGAGTTCTGTATAGGCGGGACTTTTGAGGTAAACATTTGTAAAGTGGGGATGTCCTTTACCAGTCTTTGAAGTGGCATAAAAATAAGGATTTAATGCTGAATGAATCACTTAGTGAATCATAAAAGTATTCTTGTGAAGTCATAGGAGAATCCGTCACAGCAGGAACATGAGTCCCAATATTCAACAAGTCACAGATTTTGTTGTAACAGGGATACTTCCCAAATACCTACTGCAGTAGATAATAGAAAGAAAAGAATAAAGCAGTATTCCTTTGCAAACATACAAAAAAAAATGTAAAAAATGTCTTGGCCATAGATGGAGGGGTCTGGTTCAGGGTCCCCCAGCTTTACTCCGAGCCCGGAACAACTCACCTGATTTCACCCCTCTGTCAGCAGATATGCTGCGGACATCCCCTCATCAAAAAAAACAAAAAAACCCATCAAAAAACAAAGACTTGATTTGGCAGAGGAACTCAGATCAACCAGGTACTGTTTGAAGGTGGGGATAGCCCTATCAGGGGCATAATGAGCATCTCTTTCTATTTAGAAGTCGGTTTCATTTCCACTGCTTTATCTGGGACTGCCAGTTAATTAGACAGTGGAGTCTGTAGACCTCAGTGGTTTTAAAGGTGTAATACCATTGTATGTCATCAGTGAAAAGATGATACAGCACATCAAAGTACTGCTGCATTATCTGGCCAAGAGGAAGAACATATAGCAAGAACAGAAGTGGTCCCAAAACTGAACCTTGTGGAACACCACACAGTACATCTGCTTGCCCAGACTTCCTATCATTCACAATGACACGCTGAAACACCTACCAGCCAAGTAGGAGGTAAAACGCTCCAACACCTGATCTGTCATTCCCACACAATCCCTCAGCCAATTAATCATAATGCTATGATAGGTCGTATTACAGGACCCATTGTGAGTCGGACTAATTTGACTACACAGACTGTGGGACATCAGAGAGAAAATTCAAAATCATCCTAAGCAACTGGATCTTGCAACTGAATATTGGATATGGATGTTTTGGTCTGGTCCCATCATTAATAAACTCATTGAAACATAGACTTAAATATAAGTGGATTAAATCCTTAGTAAAGACATAAATGGAACACTCACCCAGAGGACATTAAGTAAATGGCCTGTATTCTTATTAGCACCTTTTCAAGAGCTCATTCACCCATATCTTCACACATTGAGGGCGGATGCTTAACATTTTTATTACTTTTCAATAGTTTTTACCTCTTGCAGAGCCAAAACTGCCAGTCCATTTGCATGGGATTTGTGTGACTGTGTTTGTATCATTTATGTGTCTGCCATGTATGTACAGGGCATTTACACTTTCCTCCTGTCCAAATTCTGTGATTGCAACATTTACTTTTTTGCATCACATATATTTTGCTTTTGTTTTTCTTTGTGTGTTTGTTAGCCTAGTTTTTGCAATACTTTTTTGCATTTACAGCTCATTTATTTTTTGCAGTGCGTTTGCACCTCTCGGTTACCTTATTTATTAACTGAAGAATACAACAACAACAACAAAAAATGGCCCCAAAACCCCCAAAACAATTTTTTTGATTGCTGTAGATGTATTTTAGATTTAAATAATAATTATTTTTTAATTTAAAATGATGAAACAAAAGAACTTCCGGTTTAAAAACAAGCTAAATTGCTTTCACTGACATCTGTACTTTTGTGCAAAAAAGTTTAAAGTAGCATACTTTACTTTAATAGAATGCAGTGTGCAGAAAACCCCAGTAGAGTGTGCCCTAACATAAAGGTGAATGAATGTGCAGTTGAATGTACTTACCTGTTAAGGACAAAAAAGGGGTTTTCACAGTGTGTTTCCGGGAAATATTTCAAACGTTCAATGCTCTTCTACGAAACACTGTAGTAAGATATTATCTTTCCTGTCTAGAGTCATTGTTGCCAGTGTTATCTTGGGTTTTGGGCTGTGTGCCACATACATATTGGTACATCTTGTCTTCTTCTGTTCATTCTGACAAGTAGATGACCAGCTGTATTTTCCTCCTCCCTCCCAAACTTTAATACATTTACTTTTGTCCCATTTAGTAGACACAATTGTGTCTGGATTGTGTCTTGGCCCTTTTTTGCACCTCTAGGCTTGAATATGCAGAGGAATTACTAACAAGATCATCAACCCTTAAAGGCCTTTATGATGACGCACCTTTTAGCTAAATTTAAACACACAAACACATCTATATATAACTAAATAATGTGACAGCCTGCCACGATGACCCATATATTTTTTTTTACTAAACTGACAACGTAACCATCCATTAACCAGACTAATGTGAACATTTTTTGAGAGTGCAATGTGTCATAGTATTTCCTTCCCAGTATTAGGTCCATGTGAGGACTAAGTCGTCTTGTCTTCTCTGAAGTAGTAGGTCATGGAGGAAGAAAAAAATACAGGTTTTGTAAGGGAGTCAGGACATAATGTATTGTCAATTATTGAGGGAAGTGTGTATAAGGAAGCTTTAAAAGGCTTGTGAGAATTTGAAGTTGTTAGAAGGCACGTAAGGTGGTTTAAAAATCTAATCAGGTGGACATATTGGATCTTGTGGTACAGCAAATACCTTACCTCTGCTGCAAGCAGTTAAAGGACAAATTACCCAAAACCCAACTTTGCTTTGCTCATAAACAGTATATATTGATGTCTTAAAGTGTCTCAGGGATTACTTTGACAATTTACTGCACATATGTTGCTCTCCTATAGTTGTTGTAAAACTGTTTAACACGTTTAACAGGTGTAGATCAGGGGTCTTCAACGTTTTCCAGGCTAAGGACCCCCAAACTGATGGCGAGATGGAGCGGGGACCCCTAATTTTATATATTGTATGAAATTGTGTTATATCAAACTGGTTCTATAGTCACTCTATTACAGATGGAGTCATGTAATGGAACTAATGTTGCCCTGGGATTATTAAAGTATTTCTGATTCTGATTCCTGGTTGATGGGACAGGTGTTGTGAATGAAACGGTGTCCAGCTTGAAAGAGCTCCTGTGTGTCGCTGAATGTGTGCATTGATGACTGAAAGACATCTTCTGCCTCCATTTATCTGTTTACTACAGTGTGTTGAATTCATGTTAATGTGTATTTGAAGATATTTCAATTAGTGGAAAAAATTGCAGGGGGAATATAAAAAAAAAAAGGTTTAGGTTACAGCTATCCTATACCTGTTTGACCTCTTTTCTCCGGTTCATTTGTCATTTATGTTGAAGATTATCTGAAAATATAGGTCATGTTTTTTAGATATTTTATGCGTCAAATCTTGATATTCTTTCTCTGACTTTTTGAAGAACTAAAAAAAATCATGTTTCTGTTCTTACTATTAAACTTATTGGAACAACAATAACAAAACATTTTTTATATACTCTTCTAATTTCCAGTTCCCTGTTGAATAGGCTACAGTCGCGTCTAAAGTAGAGCTCCGCCCATGGCCACGGGAAATGGGGGTGCTGCAGCACCACCTAGTGGTGAGACTGGGATAAAAAAAAAGGAAATACTTTTCACAATTTATAAATTTCTTATAAATATTTTGGGAAAGGATTTTGCCTTTTTTTTGTTCTATTAGATGTATTTGGATTTGAATTTAATTATTTTGAGGCCTAAGCAACACAAGGTGATGGGAGTTACATTGTCATGGCAACGTCAAACAAACTAGAGAGTGGTATTCCGCTCACGGCAGAAAGACTAGTAAATTTACAGTCTAATGACAGAAACGAAGAGGAAATATGGCACTGGAATGCATTTCGGGTTCATCTGCTTGTGAGAGACATTTATCTCCACAACCTCAGAGCGCACCTGAATATTTGGCTACTTGTAACCATGGCACCCACTGTAGCTCAAAGAAAGTGCATGGTGTCGCCGCGCGATTTCATATCTAGTTGTGCAGTTTAACCTAACCATAGTATGTTAGAGTGATATTTTGATCTTGTGTTCTTTCTGTAATGGCTGTGGAGAACTGTGATAACTTTCAAATAGTGTAATAATATAATTATAAGGATTTTGGATTTTAATAGTCAGGTGTGACACAATAAAAAGTGACTCAGGTTCATTCCAGCTGACCTAGTCAACATTGTTATAGTGTTATTGTGAAGTTTGATTGACAGTGCATTTAATAACCTGAAAACTGATGATGTCTGTGTGTTAAAGACACTGGTTGTGTGCACTGAAGCGTATATTACAATAAAGTAGTGAATCTTGATCAATTTACTTATTTGTTTTTGTTGTGTTTTAAATGGGTCAAAAGGTCCTTTATCCAAAAAATAAAAATAAAACCTTGAAAGCACCTCCTGTTCAAATGCCCTGGCTCCGCCTCTCCAGTTTATTTGTAATTCCCATCCAGCTCCCTGTCAGACTAGCAGCACAGACCTCGGCTTTGAATCTCAGTCTGACAGGGTTAAGGAGCGGCAGTAGTAGAAGTCATAAAATATGATCCCCTGGCTTTTATTGCTGCTTTCCTGCTGTTGCTTTAATGGAGCTGCCAAAGGAATCAGTCAACTGGAGAGGATTGACAGATGTCAGACCAAGTGTTATCAGGTAATATTATTTATCTTCAACTAGAATGACATCATCACCTGTTAGCTTATTGATACCTGAGAAAAAAATAGCCGTTATTTGCTGTTTTACTTACAAAAAAAATGATAAAAAGTTTTACAGTAAAACTTATACTTCTACTGTTTCTCTTCCCTGTGTGGTCAGTTTGGCTCGCCGCAGATACTGCAGGTTTGGTTAATGGGGATATTTGCTTTACTTTCAGTAAATCTTTCTGTAAACCTTATAAGGCGGGACTTTTGAGGTAAACATTTGTAAAGTGCGGATGTCCTTTACTAGTCTTTAAAGTCACAGAAAAATAGGGATTTAATGCCGAATGAGTCACTAAGTGAGTCATAAAAGCATTCTTGTGAAGTCAGAGAGCATCGTGGAATCCTATCATTTCATCTAAAGAGGAAAAAGGAACAAAGGTTCTATGAGCATCTCTGGGGTTTATTCTCAAGGTGTTTTTTTGTTTTTTTGTGAGACAGTTTTATCTTTTACAAGTTTCTGCACCATTTACTCTGGGGTCAATGTTTATCTTCTCTTAACAAAAACAAAAACAACTCCTACCAAACTCCATTCAGGGACATGATGACATCATCCTACCACCCAAGTTATCTGTTGTATAAAAAACTGCTGACATTTAAAGGAAGTTTTAACAGATGCTGCTCATTTACTTCATTTCGTCTAGCAGATTCCACAACAGTTTCTTCTCCACTGCCATTAGACTACTAAATTTTATATAAAATGGCTTAAAATACAAACACAGAATGTTTGAACTGTAACTATAAATCACTTTTTTTCTTTCATCACAATGTTTTTATCACTGCTGCTTACATGGCTGCACTTTAAAAAAATGAAAAAGTATAGACACTTGTGTGTAAGAAATGACAAAATAAAATCTGTCTAAGTCAGTGGCGGTTCTAGACCAGTGTGTTCCAGGGGGCCAGGAGGGGCCCAGCGCGATTTCATGGGGGTCCACAAAAGTATGAAATAAAAAAACAGGGCCAGGGATTCAAGTATATTAATATAACTGCATGAAGTGAAATTTCTATTCAATTAGATTTAATTAAAATTATTTTATTTTTAGGTCAATATACATTCATAATTTAGGAATTTTACATATTTTTTGATCTGAATTAGAACTCATGAAAAACTGATGAATTCAGCCGTGAAAATTAGAGCAATTTGTTTTGAAAAAAAAAAAACATTTTGCAGATGAAAACTGGGATCCTATCTCAATACCACTGAAGCTATCACCTTATTGTTTTTAAATAATTAGTAAAACAGAATATGTAAAGAAGAAAAATGAAATAGATCGAAAGGAAATTTCAGTAACCATGTCTGTTCCAGCGCATATCATCATTGGAATTTCTTTGAGTATTATGTCTTCAGTACAGGGGCCAGGACATTATCTAAAGGGGCACTGGCCCCCGTTTGCAACTGTCTAGAACCGCCCATGGTCTAAGCCTAAATCTGAAGGGTTTTACTTTAAAGTTTGAAAGGATTAAAGGAGGCTGTTTTCTACTGGAGATGCGGCCTGACCAAGTACCAATCTTATCTACAAGTTTTGATTTGATTTGTTTCAGACTAATTTGGTGAGATGTTGAAGTTTGAACTTTGGTATAGCAGCATTAACTTTCACAACATCCATTAAAAGGAATCTACAAAACCGATGTGCAGGTGCAGCGATTTGGATGCACCTTGTAGTGGCTTCCATCCAGTGTGATTTATGAAACAATATAACACTAAATGTTAACCAGCCTCCACCCAAGAGACCTGTTTTAATTATAACTTTTAGTAGCAGAGAGACACAACAGGTTTCTAACAAAAACAGTTTAATTTAAAGCTCCTTTAGAGGTCCAGCTGTGGATAACAGAGGATTAGATGCATTCCTAAAGTGACAGAGTTGGCTCCATGTTATTAAATCAAAGTGATGGAGTATTTCCTTTAACTAAAAAATGCAGATAGATTGAGGCTTGGTTTTTTCCTCTGTGCCTTTAGTGTACCATGCACTTTATATTTTAGTTAGGCAGATTAATAAAAAAATCTGTGTGAGGCTCCTGACTACTGCGAAAACAAAAGAGAAAGAATTTCATGTGTCTTAAATATTAGGTGTATACAAAAAATGATTAAAAAAGTATTCTTGATATTAATTTGATGGTTTTAGGGCTTAGTTCTCGCCCCCTAAACCAAGAGCCCCAGATATCTGACCCTCTTGTCTCCCTGTCAGTGGCCGGATAAAGTACCAATGACAGTAATACACTTAGAGCCAGTTTATTTACTGCATTCCCACATATCTGACTTTTTCTTTGTTCTGATTTCCTGGATGCCGATGGGAGACATCATTAAGTAAACAAATCTAAAACGCTTCCTTAATACCAATTACCAATCCACCCCTTCAATGATTTAAAGCCTACCACATAAAACATAAACAAAAACGCATCCACTCTTGCAAACCTACATGAATTCATTTCATTTCAAAATGAGCAAAACCCTGAGGCACTTTCCTGACCTTTAAGTTGCGATAATTGCACAAACAATAACTGCAACAAGAACTGAAACCAAGAGGTAGATTTCCTGAATGTGGGAGGTTATTGTTGTATGAGGTCAGTGATGTAGGTTGTAGCTGTATTATGAAAAAACAGAAGTTAATATCCCTAACCCTAAAACATTAACACCATGCAAGTATATCAAATTATCTTCCTGCTTAGATTTACTGAGAGTGGTGCTCCTATAGATATCATATTGGGATCAGGATGTAGAAAACCCTTTCTGAGGAACCTTTTTTTCTTTATCATATTTCGGGTTTGAAATCTAATAGCACTATTACTCATAATATTAATGACTAAGTGTTTCACCTGATCATCTCCCTGTCCTTTTCTTCTTGCAGGGACTTGGCTGCAAGACCAGTCGAGAGTGTGAGTATGAAAACTGACTTGGAATGAGACAAAACGTTCTAAAAAAATTATCGAAACATTATTGAACTGCTTCAAGCATTTTTAATTAGACTAGACCCTAACAATACTATTAATTTCTCTTTAATGAGAACCAATAAAAACAACAGAAATTACTTAGTAGTGCAGGAAATAGGGTTATTTGTTATATTAATCTAGAGCCCAATAATGAGGAGGTCACTTAACAGGCACAAAAGTTTAATTTAGAGCTAAACTGTATGCTAATTGCTGTCTTAACGTGTGACCCCCGGTGTCCTTTGTCCCTGTTTTAAACAGATTGGTTTGCTGATGTGTGTCAGGACCCCACCAAGCATCTCAACAGCGCTACCCTGCTCCACAATGCGAGCATCTCCACGGTCATGAGGTGTGAGCAGAAGCAAAAGTGCGGGCTCTACCTGAGAATCCGGACAGTTGTGCAACTTATGGGTAGGTAGTGGTGAATTGAAACCATTAGGGTTTTATGTAAACATCTGCATTCATTTTCTTCAATGGTGTTACTATGTTTTCGAACCATTTATCAATTTTCTTTGCACTATGCAATGTAAAAGTGTTTGAAGTTCTCGAGATTCTGAAACGTTACAAACAAAAAGTTAATGTAATTAATTAAGATATGCCAACCCCATTCATTCCATAATTCAAAAGAGAGAATGAAATAATCCGAATAATGTGGAGTAAATTTAAATTCACCACCTTTTATTCTCATACCCCTAAATAAGGACAAGTGTAACCAGCTTGTATCGCACGGCTGGAAACATGTCTATGTATCGTCATCATCCTGAGCCGAGAGGCAGGGGAGGGTGACCATTGATTAGAAGAGCTGCAGAGATTAAAAGCTCAGTTGAATTACACCATTCTAAATGAAAAGTATCCCATATGGTCTCTACTATTTAGTCCTTTATGGAAACCCAGCAAAAAACATAGCTGACAGAAATCAATAAGAAATATGTTTGGTAGTTTGCAAAAAAAAAAAAAAATCGGAAGAAGGTGTTCTCATGAAATAAGACGAGAGTTTGACTGTTTGGTCTATATAAACAAATCTAGAATTGCACTCCTCAAGTTAGTTTGCGTCTGATATTGTCTTTAAAAAAACAAACTTTAGTTCCTCAAAGTTTCAGTTCTGAAATGTGATGCTTTGGAGGTAGAAATATTCTAAACGGTAAATGGCCTGTACTGATATATGTCTTTTTCAAGTCAGAGGACTTGGCCAAAGCGCTTTACACTACAATCAGTCCTTCATCCATTCACTCACACACTGATGTTGGGAAGCTACATTGTAGCCACAGCTGCCCTGGGGCTCACTGACAGAACTGAGGCTGTTGTACACTGATGCCAACGGGTCCTCTGACCACCATCAGTAGGCAATGCAGATGAAGTATCTTGCCCAAGGACACAACAACACTAAAAGCGAGAGCTGGGGCTTGAACCGATAACCCTCCGATTGAAGGACAAACTCCTGCACCTGACACCACTGTCGCCATTCTTACTGAAATCATATTTCTAGAAACTTGTTACAATGCATAACCAAAGAAAGCTGTTTTTATTTTAACAACAGGAAGCCGCTCTTTAACATCTTAAAAACTGAAGTAACACTACAGCTACATCCCTTATGACAAATAAGTTGAATTAGAGGTGGTAAAGATGCTGAAGAGAGTAAAGAAGAACATTCGGAAAATTCACCCCTCACATCACTAAATATCTGCAATGCAAGACCTTTAGGAAAAAAAAAGTTGGATGAACTCCAATCCTTAGCAACGACTCAGCTAGAGTATAAGGAGGGAAAATATTATGGCTTTCACCAAAACATGGCTGCAGGATCATATCCAATATTCCAGTATCCATTTGCTGGGCTTTCTAGCCATACGACCAGAAAGAGACGTAAAGGATAGTGGCAAAACCAAAGGATGTGGGTTAGCAGTGCTTGCAAACAATACATGCTCAGATATTGAACTGTCAGCAGTAAGTTTGGGTCCATATTATTGACCTAGAACAGGATGTCAAACTACGGTAGTTCCAGAAAGGGCCATGTGGCTGCAAGTTTTCTTTCCAACCAAGCAATAGCACACCAGACTGTCATCATGTCATCATGTTGACTTACTCACTTGATTAGATGACTGAAGTCTGGTGTGCTATTGCTTGGTTGGAAAGAAAACCTGCAGCCATACGGGCCTTTCTGGAACCAGTTTGACATCCCTGACCTAGAGAGTGTATCAGTGTTATTTTGGCAGCCATTTATCTTTCACTATCAGCTCTTGTGCTAATTTGGCCGGGCAAATGCATTTGGCCTGGCGGTTCATTTGGCATGTGCAAAGCACATCTTCCACTCTGTACACTTCCAACTTTAAAACACTTTTTCAGGTGCTCTATCAGAAAAACAAAGTTAGGACAAGTGTCCTATATATTTCTAAAGCAAGACCTCCTCTTGCAAATCAGGTCAAAATCTTGTTTCTTTCCCTCAGACTGTAAGTACCTTTTTGAGAGACAACCTACATTAAAGAGAATCATGAGAAAATGGTCATAGGATGCTGAAATGGCCTTGTGAGATTATTTTAGGCACTATTCCAGCCATAGGGAAAGGACATCAATGCCATGAACGAGTGTGGGACTGATTAGACAAATCTTGTAGTAGAAGCCGATATCACCACCAGAACCGTGAGATGTAAAAAAAACACATGAGAGTAAAAAAGCTTGGATTACAACAAATATAAGGGAACAAGAAAAAAACAGGACAGGGTATTATTAACGAGTATAGAGAAACATCTTCAAGTCAACATTAGAGACGGGTAGCAAGCATACAGTAAGACGGTCCAGACCAGTGCTCCGGCAGAAAAGTATTACTGTGTGTGGTCAGGGATGAAATGGATCCCATGCTTATGCTTATATGCAAATGAAGTGAACACATTTTTTAGCATTAATATTTAAGGAAGAAATACCCTTAACTATTGCCCAGAGATAAAGACGTCGGCCCCCTGACCAGCCTATTGGCCTGTCTGTCTGTAGAATAAGGTAAAATCAGCTGGATAGACTAAACCACAATGAGGCTCCAGGTTAAGATGGTGTCTGCAAACAAGCAACCACTTCAGTATATGGCTGAGGCAATAAGCACATGGCTGTTGTCCACTGGATATAACTTCTACATGGATAACAGACTGGTCTGAAGATGCAACTGTAAAGCTGTCTGCAATTAGGGAACATTTTTGTTTTCTTTAGGAGGCTAAGTTCCTCAGTTGTTCATAACAAGAGGATGCATGTCTTCTAAAAGGCTGTTGTTGAGAATATAAACTCTTGAATTTAGCTCAGTTGAATTTATCAATCATTATAGACAAGCCCAAGATACTCTACTTCGCACTAACAGCAACAGTGCTTTTAGTCAGAGGCTTGTGAGACCACTACAGGAGATTCCTCCATGCCTACAACCTTCAACATCTACAGCAACCTGTTTAAGCTTCCCCTGCATGTGAGTTAAAACGACATTTGATTTTCTTTTTCTTAATAAAGCAAGTAGAACTGAAACCTGGTGGTGGCAGTATCAGGCTGTAGAAAATACTTCTCGAACAGGGAGCGGAAACCCGGTCTTCGTTTCCTGGCAGGTGGATGGCGCTAAATACTGAATACCTGACAATCCAGAATCAAGAACTGGTAGAGGCTGTATAATATTTGGGATTTAGGTGATGTTCACCTTCCTGTAGAACAGGAACCCCAAACACATTGGCAATCTATAATGGAATCGTTTAGATCAAAGTAAAGTCCAGCAATGCTTTATACGTTAGAATGGACCAGTAAAAGTCCATGCCTAGATGCTATTGAGAATCTGTGAAAGACAGACTGGCATTTATGTTTGCAGATGCATGTCATTATAGAGATCACCTCAACAAGCTTTAAAAGTAAACTGGGGATAAAAAGGTGGTTCCAGTCAACACTGACTCAGGGCAACAATGTTTGCAATATTCCTACAAGACACTTTTACTTCAAAACATAATATTTTCTCTTCCTCCATCCAGATAATATCTCATTGTTGTCTTTGGATCAGTATGTAGGTCTAACACAATATAAAGATTAGTAATGAAAAAAACAGGAAATGCTTATTAAATCCCATTTCTGGTACGCGTTCATAAAACAAAGATGGTAAAAACCCTCGGCTTTGTTTCCTCTATCCCGAGGGTCACTTCCTGGTGATATTAAGATAAACGAGGAGGCAATGAAATGTAATGTAAAGTCATCATAGATAAAACTGCTCTAAATTTAGTCTACCTGGATTCAAAAATGCAAATATATTTCAGGGAAAACATCAATAAACATGAAAGCAAGCACAGCCTTACTTATACCCTAGGGATAAGTTTGAGTCAACAGTACAGTCTACGTGCCTACCCCACGCCATTGACATGTTATAACACGAGCGAGAAAGGAGACTTCCAAAGAAAAAATATTTAGCTTATAAGTGGATATGAATGCAACAATGTCAATTTACACAAACACATCAATCTAAGAGAGAGACAATTTGTATATCAAGTTCCATTATTATACATAACCTTTTGAAGTCCTTACCCTACTAAAATATATATTATCCAAAGCCAAAAGTTGTAATTTACTCAACCTAATACGACCTTTAAAGAGACATATACTGTATCATAGTGGGATTTTCCTAATTTTGCTAAAGTTCTTCAGAAGACACTTGTGGGTTTCTCAATAGTATCAACAAATTAGAATACAAGGCAAAGACAACTTGTGTAAACACAAACTGCATTTTTTTAAGGCCTGTAGTGCTTTAGTTGTTCTTCTGTGATCACCTGAATGAGTTCATGATGAGCTTATGAGATATTTGTGGGTAGGCATGCTTTTCCTGGGAAGGGTCACCTCTATTTCATTGTATCTTCATAGCCGCTCTCACCATTATTCTCTGGTCTCCCGAAGCATGAGAAAATGTGTTGATAGAAGTCAATGACTTTGTTTCTCCTCTGCTCTTGAATTTCTTACCATCAATGGATGGTGTGTTCCCTTTTCAAGTTTTTCACCTACCTCAGGTTCTGTTATGAGGATTTCTTGATTCTGTAGTTGTGCCTTCAACCAATGCTACACATAGTTTTTCTAATAGAAGTATGTTACTTTTGCAAGCTTTGATGGTGTGCTCTTCAAGTGATGGGCTGCAACTGAAGCTTATTTATTTTACAGTAAAGGTATAATGGAGGATGTTCTTTTACCGGGTGGATCATCATAATAAGTGGTCCTCCTAATTGTCAATCATTCTGGTGATATGTTTATGTAAGGCCGTCCTACGTGCTCGTCCCTATTTTCACTTACCTGTGGTGAGTCTGATACAGTGGACAATTCTTCTTTTGGAAAGTAAGCTTGTATGAGTGATGCAAACTGCAACTTTTAAACAGAACGTGCACGAGGAGAAATGGGATTGTGCACGCTCGCCACTCATTTTTAATGGGCGTTCCCTCTCAAGAGTGGGTACAGAGTTGTGCATGTACATTTTCTCTTCTAAAGTTAAGAGGGTGGGTCTTTTCAAAAAGTTGTGAAAATCCTCCACTCTGCCTTTAAGTTTTGATCCGGCTGCAGAACTCTTTCACGTTGGTGAATCTTTCCTGATTCATTTTATGCGTTTTTAATGTTATTTTTTTAGATGGTTTGGTAATATTACTAGGAAGCCACATGCATACAATTGCAATTAATGGAGGAAAAAGTAAAATAGCTTTTGACTATCAAGTCCTGATGACTGCTAACTTACCTCCCATGTGGTATTTATTTTGTTCATCTTAAACAAATAAAGAGGTGCGCTTGAATTTCTATCAGCAGCTGTTATGATAGACTTCTAACCTAATGCAGAGCTGTAAGGTTACACCATGCTTCGCCAACAAAGCATACAGCTTTGCCAGTATACACTCTTTGCACTTTGCAAAGACCTGTTTAGAGCATATCATTTTAGAAGGAAGTTTTGAGAGCAATTATTGAAGTGTAGTCAAGTGTGTATAAAAATGAGTCATGTTATATAATCTTGAATACAGGGCAGGAAGAGACATCTCACCCAGGAAACCCACTGTGCTCAAAGATAAAAAAAACTTTGCACCCGCAACAGCCCAAATTGCCTTTTTCATTTTCCCGATGAAGCAGATTGAATAAACATTCTGGTCTGGTTCCTTTATAAAGTGCCAGCAGATGCATTATATCCTTGTTTGTTTATCAGGTAATGTGCAAAGTTCTTCCCTGTTCGGGCACGAGACGGGAAAACCCCCAATTTGGGTTATACAATTACTTATCACAAGCTTCTTTTTTTATGACTTTTCCCAAGCCATGTCTTTTAAACAGATAAGTCCATAATGCAGCGTTTGTAATTGAGTATTTAACTTTTTTTATTTTTTAGATAAAGACTCCATCCATGGCATTTCCATTTGCACCAACAGTGCAGGGATGATGACAAACTGCCAAACCATACAGTTCACCAAAGCTTCAAGAAGATCAATGCTTGGAATGCCGGTAATGTCAGAAGAAATGCTTTTCCTGTTGTAAAACATTTATGGATGAGTAAGAAAAAAAAATTAAACTTAGAATTTTTTGCAGCAGTAGTTAAATGTCATGAAATGCATTTCATCCATCCATCCATCCATCCATCCATCCATCCATCCATCCATCCATCCATCCATCCATCCATCCATCCATCCATCCATCCATCCATCCATCCATCCATCCATCCATCCATCCATCCATCCATCCATGCACAGGGAGAACATGCAAACTCCATGCAGAAAGACCCTGGTCCAGGTTTCAAACCCAGGGCATTTTTGTTATAATATCAGGAAACAGTATGCAAAATAAATTGAATGATTTTTATGCATGTTTACCAAAGGTGCTTATTTTCATGGAGGAACTTGTACCTTTAAGACAGGTTTATGAGTGAAGTTTTTGTTTCATATAAAAGTGTTATGTTTGAAGATCCCTTTCACTCTCTATGGTGACATCAGTGAACTGAGACGTTCATGTTTCAACTAGAATTTATTTGTTTTTCTTATTCCAATGTTTTCCTGTAGGTGACAGTTGAAAATGATTACACCGAAGTGTCTCCAAACCAGCAACTGGAAGTAACAGTGAAAACAGTTCCTAGCTATTGTGGCATAACGTGGTCCAGCAAGTACCATACTCCTGGTGAGAACAACTCTTTGAAAGAATCAGTATATATTGATCCTTGCAAGGGAATGACAGACCAATCATTTGCTAATACCCAGTCTACTCTAACTAGACATAAGGAAGTTGCTAAGTTTATACAGTACCAGTGTTAGATATGAGAGATGTCAATTAAATTCAGTTTATTTATATAGCACCAATTCACAACATGTCGTCTCAAGGAACTTTGCACTTCACCAGATCATACAGTCAAATTAATTCAGAGTTTCCTATCTAAGGAAAACCAGTTGATTGCATCGACTCATTGACTGGGATGCAAATCCTCACACTAAGCATGCTTGTAGCGACAGTAGAGAGGAAAAACTTCCTTTCGACATTTTTGTCACAACACAGTATCTGATCAAAAGCTTGAGAAGCTTCAGCCTGGCTTTTAAGAACACTCCTCCAACAGTATTCTGACAATGAAAGCGAAACTTTGGCCCAAAGGGGGAACTTTGACCTTATCTTCATTTCCGCATGTTTGGAAACAACCCCCAGGTCCCAGCAGTAAAATACCTTGGGCTCAAACAAATCAGACCCTGCAGCAGGAGCAGAGCGAATATTTTCACAATTTCTCATAGCACACACATAAATAAGTGCAGTCATCCAGCCAGAACTGCAGATCATATTTAAGGAAGCACTGTTTAGTGATCTTCCACGTATTTCCTAGTGTTAAATGAAAATGAAAACCATTACACTAATAACTAGGGCCTTGGCAAGCATTAGGAAACATGACTCATAGCAGAAAACTAACAGGAACAAATATAATTTAGCTACAATATAACAACCAACTAAGAAATAGAGCTGGTGCATTTTATGTTACTTTAATGCATTTTTGATCAACCAGTGCCTAAAACAAAATATGCTATATAAGAAATATGGTGTGGCTTAAGATGGTCCTCATGAAGTAACCATAACCCCCACCACCTCCACCCCAACAAAATAAAAGCAGTTTATTGATTGATTGACTTTATTGATCTCACAATGGAGAAATGTACTCGTTACATCAGCTTAAATAGTAAAAAAAGAAGAATGTGCCAAAGGAAGACAAAGGTGCATGGGATATATAGAGTGTATACAGTGCATCCACATATGACATTTGATTTTAATTTTATTTTTTCTATAGTAGGATCATTAGACCGGGTTATTATACCTGAGGTACTATATATTTTTGACCACTTTTTGCTAACTTGCCTGATAATTTTTCCTTTTTTTCCACAGAGTGCTCTAATGAAGATTTGAGGAAAAATGTCCCAGAATGTATCAGTAAGTACATCTTTATTATTCATTTACACCTAATGTTGTCATCTGAGTACACAAAATCGAACATTTCAAGTTCTCTGATAACAGAGAGCATGAGCAGACCACCGTGTCTCCTGTTTACAATAAGCTGACTGATTTTGCGGGTTTTCCACCGTGTCTGGCTTTGTAATAAATAGATCTCTTCACCTGTTAACAAAAAGAGCTTCTTCTCTGACTATTAACAATAAATGGCATCAAAAGAGCGTGGTGCGACCTGGGATGATGCAGAGACTGAGGCTCAAATTGAAATTTGGGCGGAGTAGGCTATCCAGGCACACGAGTTCCTGAATGTTATGGGGGCCACCATTTATGTTTGCGTAATTCGCGCCTTGAGAGCTGTAGTATCGTGGACCGCCAATAGGAGGCAAGGAACCGTAATAGTGTGATGTGTGCTCGGCACGGTTAACCGATCCAAGCTCAGTCCGAACTCGGAAAGGACCGGTTTCAGAGGGGTAGTGGAAATGGGGCATACCTCTGTGAACGGGACCTGAAGATGCTTGAGGAAATTCTGATGTTTAAATCTGAAAGAGCAATCCGTCATTTTTGCAGTTAAAATGTGTTGTCCAAATTCTACCAGTAATGTTTTAGAAGAGAAAGTCAGTTTTGTACTCTTGCAGCACTGCTATGTAGGTAAAATCTATACAAATAAGCAGAGAAAAGGTGAATCTAAGAACAAAAACAGAACCACCCACCATTATTGTTCTCATACCCCAGAATTGTGGATGGTTGAGTATTTCTTTCAACAAGCATAGGCTTTTTTTATGCTCAGAGTCAATAGGTGATGATGGAAGTTGCACACAGAAATGTAGATTTAAAAAGTTGAGACGGCTTGAGTGGATTTTACTGAACAACAAAAGATAAAGGTATTGCAGAGAGAAAAGACTTTGAAAATCCAAGGCATAGAATGCATGTCAGAACTCAACCAGGATTAACTGGACTTTTCCAGGGTAAGCAAAAAAAGGGTTGATTTGGATAATAACCCAATAAAGAATGTGGTATGTCAAGCAGAATGACTTTGAAAGGAGGTATGACTAAGACTGGAGCTATAGGAGACTTAAGGACCAGGTGTAGAAAAAAACGTTGAAAAATAAGTGCAGAAAAGGAGCAGATAAGAGCAGAAAAACACATAGAAGACAACATTTTGAACAAACACATCTATAAAATATCAGAAACTGACAGCTCTAAATTTTATAAGATAAAATAAATTCAAGGCCACAGAGATTTAGTGTATGTGACAAAAGAATAAAAGCATCATTAAGCTATTATCATAAAACCATTACTTCACCTCTGTTTTTTTTCTCAGCTTTGCAATGTTTTCATAACTAGACATGAAATGCAAGAAGCTTGGGACTGAAAGATTAATAATTATAGTCTGTTTTACTATACTTGGATGGGAGGGCACGGCTTAAAGGCGAAGTTAAGTGGCATGGTTTTTTTCCACCTCTTTATTAAAAAAAAACAACGCCTGTTATTTTATTTTAAAGTGGCATTTTACCCAATGTTTTTCTTTTGACTGCGTGACTAGCTGGCATTCTGTAGGAACATGTCAGTTTATTTGCAGAGAAAATAACAGCTGCATTTTAATAATGCTTTTATTTAATTTTATTTACTTTTATTTATTTTTGTTATTTTATATTTTTGTGCAGCACTTTGGAAACCTTGTGTTTATTGAAATCGTGCTATATAAATAAAGTGGATTGGATTGGATTGGATTGAATGTCTTGTTCAAAATCCTGAAACTTGTCATTTGAATTTAATTTATCGGGACTGCTCAGAAACTCTTTAAAACACAGTTCGAGATGTATAGAATTGTTGATCTATGTGTGGAAAAAAGGGGCTTCAAGTATTTTTCAGCATTGGCACCATCTTTCATCTTTGCTAGACAGGCATCATTCAAGTGAAAACCTTTGCTTTTGACCACAGTTCGCCATGACTAATACAGAATTACAGGAAATCGGTTCTACACTTTCATTTCTGAACCTTAGCTTCAGTTTCTGATTGTTCTTTTATCCTGTATCCTCCAGCTGGGACTCTTTCTTACGTTTTAAGCCCAGAAAAGAAGGAGCTGACAATAAGCGTGACGGACATGCTTGCAGATCACGACTACAATCTCCGTCTCTGCCACAAGGACTTCATCTGCATTGGCACGGGAGTCTACACTCAGGTTAGGACCAAGGACTTTTAATTTGAAAAATGTTTAATTTTAGTCGAAGCACCAAAAATCCAATGCAAGATGTGAGCAGAGATAACACTTGAAGAGAAACATAACACACTGCTAAATTGGATGCACGTGGTTTTATTTAGCTTAACTGGAGAATACATTTATTATAATAAAAAAATCTAAAATGTATTCTCTTTCCAACCCTTTAATGTAGAAGGAGTCTCCCCAAACTAAAATAGAATTGTAATTACGTATTTAAGATTTTCCGCCTTGTTCTATTTTTGTCTTGTCTAACTTGAACCACTTCTTTTGAAATGTCAAACCACCCATGCTCACATAACTTTCCACTGACTCACTAAAACTATTGAATAAAGTTTAATGCAACTATAGGACATGGTTGGAGTACTGCTGTAAAGATCAGATCAGGGATCAAAACTCATAATAACGGGGCTTATAGAAAACACTTCATCGGATGTCAAAATACAGCAAAAATATTTTCTTCCTTTTCAGGTAAAAAAGGAAAACCCCCTTAAGACTGCAGTCCTTCCGTATTCCAGACCTCTGCCTTGCCTTTGTATCGAGGTAACTTCCTTATCAGCATTCCAGCTTTTTGATCTATGAGTAATCACATCAATATACGGGCACCAAACTTGGATATTGTGATTCATTGTAGGGTTGGTCAGCTGTAGTGGATGCTCCTAGAGTCCAGGTCTGCCCATTCAAAGACCGTGAGTCAACGAGTGCTGCTATTGATATCTTGTAATACTATATCAGTTACCTTATCACATGCCAGCTAAGCGTTCTGACCTATTCTGCCTGCAGGTCTAGAGGAATTGTGGTTTGGGATCACCTTTGATCCTCTAGAGGAAGCTTTGATATGGGAACCACCGTGTCCCGTCAAAGCTGTGGTGTGTTTATGTGAGAATAAAGAGGATGACGTCTGTGTTGATCTACCTGATTCATCACAGAGTGTCAGCCGAGACAAGGTAAATTACCTTTGAAAATGTATAATTATTCTTATGGCGGGCTGGGCACTGAAGTACAAGACAAGAATGGAATAAAACATGATGATATATTATTACGGCTCCTTTAAGGCTGCACCTGTTTTACAGCTTATACCCAGAGGCTAGCATACAGCCTTAAGAATGTTAATACACTTTGCTGTAGTAACACTGGTTTACTACCATAAAAATGGTTTACAACGTCAACGTGCTACACTACACTCAACAGGTTCCTTCTTCACAAGCTTTCTGGCTGCCTTAAACTAAACTGCTTTCAAAAGACGTCAACAAATAGAGTTTACATATTGGAATAAACAGTTTGAGTTAACTTTTTTACGTGGTCCCTGTAAAGTGGTGGGTTTATTCTAGCATTTTAACCTATAAACATTGTAAAGACATTGTATTTAACTTAACATAGACAATGACATCATTCTGCAGCCACGGAAGATTAGAGAATAGATTTTTTTTCGCTTAGAACCCAAGGCATGTAATTTAAGTGGGGAATGACGTACTTGTTATAAAAATATCAGGAAAGCAGAGAATCTTGTCAGTGTCAGGAATAAAAGTAAAATAGCCTAGATATAGATGAAATTTAAGATAAGTAACCTTTGCATTCAACACTGTTTTTTAGGTCAGATTTGCCAAGGTTGATCCTCACCCCAAACTCTGCATGAAGGTAAGGATTACACTTTTCTATCCTCTGGGTAGGGGTGTTTCAACAGCATACACTGAAATTATGGTTTTATTTGAAAAGATTTCTCATTAGGCTATTTGTCCTTGGATAGCTTGGTGATTTATAGCCAAGATATCCGTATCGGCTAGTCCTTGTCTTCTTGTTGCACTTTATAACTAAGTTTTGTTCGCTTTTAACACTTTTGCTCAAAATTAACACCGGGATATAAATCCATCTAAACATTTTTCGATTATACAAATGTATGTCATGAGGGTCTTTAAGGATCTAACACACATGCAGAGATTCACTCAGAGAACCACGGGTAAACGTTAACAGGTTTATTGGGAGGTTTACAAAAACAAAGAGAGAGGTTATTAAGCAGGGTAAACTCAGTTGAACCTCAGGGGACTGGTCAACCGGAACCGAAAACTGTTTGGGGGGGTTCTTGGTTTTCCCTTGAATCCAGTTTGTGGGGTTTTATCCAGAGATGAATGAACTCGTTGGAGGGCGGACAGGTAGAGTAGCGTTGGGTCCAGAGGAGCAATAGAGTGGACCGTCACCGGGTTTTCCTGAAGTAGACTTGAATGGATCTGGTGGAGGTTTCCCCTTGCTCGGTGATACTCAAATAATTCCTTCCAGGGGAGGTAGAAGGTCCAGGCTTACCCAGTGGATCAGGAAGGCATCCCAATACTGGCAAAAACTCTGGTGTCGAGGTAGTGACAGCCCGCTGCTCAAATACTCCTCTGGTGATGACCCAACAAGCTGCAGGTGTGAGAGGAGGCCCAAACGAGGAGAGAGCACCATCTATTGGTGGAAAGGGAGAACAAAAGAAAACACAAAAAAAACCCCACACAAACTGTAATCCTAATAATGTGATGGCAGTTTTTTTTTGGGGTGGGTTTACCAAGTTTAGCCATAACATTAAGAGTCGGTCTTTAGTTGCAAAGATCCTGCCACCCACCCTGACTTTCAGGCTCATATTTGAACTGAACGAAGCCTTTAAAACTCAAGCTCAGAAATAAATTTGGACGTGTTAAACAAAGAGAATGAAAGTCTAACCTGATGGTCGATCTGCTGGAGGTTTCTTCCAGTTAAGAGGGAGTTATTCCTCTCCACTGTCGCTACAAGCATGCTTGGTATGAGTAAAGTGCCTTGAGATGACATGTGTGGTGAATTCGCGCTATATAAATAAACTGAATTAATTTAAATAACCACGCTACTGATATTTAGCCAAAAGAGATACACTGCTGACCAAACTCACCAAAACAAACATTAGCAAATATCTCAGAGGCTTTATTACTTTATATTTTGCAAACCTGAGTTTGTGGGACTATTTGGAGAGTGGTTGAATTTCATTTTTATTTAGCTAGTTTAGCTCGACAGCCCACAAAATTCCAGCTTTCCTCTCTCAATGCATACTCCGATACACCCATATATGTCCAACCAATTTCCATGTATTTGGACCATTTGAATAAAAGAAGTGTCATGGATGGGAACAATTAAGTGTTAATGGTTGTTGCCGGAAAAAAGCCAAATTGCTTCCATCAGTGTTTTAGGTGAGGAGCTTTGGGTTCATCGGGAATGTATTAGAGAGTTACAGGAAGCATACAATAGTTATTAAAAAGGTGAAACCTTCTATGAGCCAGAATGTGCTTTACAACCTTCATCCAAAGCCATTACCCTGTTGCTTTCCGGAATTAACTTAGTCATCTGCTTTGAATAAAAGCAGATGAGGTCAACCTTCTATGGAGCTTGAAGTGACTTGGCTTTCAGTTATGATGGATCATGGGGGGTTTCAGAGATTTGCTCAAGATTCCTAAACAAAGCATCCCTGATGACACCAAAGATTAATTGTATAACCAAGTTGGTTTATTGTAAAACCAGAAGCTCTTGTAAAATGACTCACACCTGGAAGCAGACAGGAATCTAAATTAAGGGGCATTCTGTTGCTATGAAAACTAAGCAGAGGTGGCTTTTCTTTTAAACAATCAATATGTTAGGTTAGGTTAGAAATTTTCCATGAATATTTGAGGACTTTTTTTTTTTTTACATGTTTTTAACATAATTTCCTTTCAGTTTACAGTCGGGTCGCAGTCCTGGATCAAGTGCCCCTTTGCTGATGGGATTAGAGGTGCGTTTTTGTTTACTGTGATTCTAAAGAAAATACAGTGATTATTAGAAAAAGATGACAACCCTTAGCACAAAGTAGTATACTTGAAGTAAATTCTATTAAGAATACTTAAGTATAAGTATAAATTTAGAAAGTATTTTTCTAACTAAATTGGGACATTTTTAAGTTTACTAAAGTATACTTTAGTAAATAATAAAGTAAACAATAGTATAGTCAAATACACTTGACTATACTATTGTTAAGTACCGTATATGAAATGTAGTTTAGAATAAGTAAACTCTAAGTGCACTGCCTGATTTTAAGTATCAAATTAGTGCACTTTTAGTATACTTGAATAAACTACTTTTTGCTTTCTCTAACCTTTGTAAGCTTTTTCCCCCCCCCAGTCTGGGAAGTGACTGTTTCAACCCAACATGGACATGAAGAAATGCAGATCCTGTCAAGAGTTAAGGCAAATTTTTCCGTGGAGCTGAGGTCGACTTCTGCTGAATCACCAGTGGGGGAGACAAACAACAGGAAATTTGTGGAAGTTGTAAGTTTCATGTATAAAAAATGTATGGTTTTACTTTCAGCTGTCTTGGGTAATTCCAAGCTTTTTTTCATATTCAGCTGAAACAGCTGTATTATTTTTTAAGTCCCCTTTTCCTGTTCTGTATTTATTTATTTTTTCTGGCAGTGTTTTTGTTTTGCTCTAAATTTCCAATCCGTTGCTTGGAAGCAACAAATGGTGTTTGAAGCATCTCCATTATCAGTAGTGTCATGAAAGGGATTTCATGTTCAAGATCGTCTTATGATCAACATTTCAGCCAGGGGAAATAAAAAAAAGAAAAGAAAATAAATCTGCAGCAGGTTTATGAATTGCACTGTGATAGGTGTAAAATGTTATCAGAGGAGCATGTCGTTCATGAAGAGGGCCATGATTGTTTATTGAGGCAATAAAAATAGAGTAACCATGCAAACCCTCAAACAACATCAAGTTATTTCTGTTAAGTTTTCTGTACTTTTTTGTCCTCAGGACAAACAGAAACCTGTTAAATTGGAGCTAAAGGGAGAAAAGTGCAACCTTTGTCAACAGGTATTCCAATGCATTTGAAAGGTAAACATTTTTTTCTCTTAAACAGCCATTCAGAATGCTATTCTTTTATTTGTGCAGGTGAAAAGGATATATGTGAAGTATGCTGTCACAGTGGTTCACTGTACCCAGCTGTGCAGTAAGTATGGCTTTTGCTATGGCTTGTCTCTTTAAAAAAAACAAAAAACTCATATTTATTTATTGTGCAGCATAGCCAAGGTAATGCCTTAGTCTGGCATGAAAACTTTTCCCAGTACTTCTTTTTTTCCAGGCATTAATGACTTTCATATTTACGGATGTTGACATTTCTTGAGAGTATTGATAAATGCACGTGCCTTCTAATCTTTTTTTTCTGGAGTTAGTTTGATAAATAAAAGCAAGACATGCTTTGCCTGAAGATACACATGGAACTATGAGGGATAAACATCTTATTTGTTGTTTTACTTTAGTTTGTGAATTCAGTGGGCAGAAAGGTCACAGGCAACATATTCTTTTTAGATTCGGATTAAGATAGAAGACTTTGATTATATTATACCTTTTGCTACACATTAAAGTCCCAACAGGAAAAAGGTTGCATCATTTCAGTATATTTCTCTTATTTTGATGTGGTTACACTAGAAAATAAGAAGTTTCTTTATATGTTCTTGATGGGTAAAAACTATGAAAACACTTGATGCTTTTTTATTCTTTACAAGCCTTGGAAAAATATTTTTCCCTACATTGTATTTACATTTCCCAACTATATATATAATACCTGGTAGTTGCAACCACTTTCAATGCACTAAGAGACTGGTGTTACTCTTAAATAGAATCCCAATTCTGTTTCAGGAAGTTAGACAGAATCTTCACTAAATTTAAACAATGAGTTGTTTCAGCAGTGCTCACCTCTGCTGAGTCATGGGAGCGAAGTTTTAAGTGACAGAATAAACTTGGGCACAGTTTCATTAGTCACATCTCATTACCCTTAATGCTCTCTTGGACTCTTAACTTACCTGCACCAGGCTAAGTCACAGAACCAACCCATCTACACACTCAGAGCTGTTACCACCCAGTCTTTTCTTTTTAAAATAGATAAATAGCTGCATCATTTACACTACACATATAAACTTGTTTAAATGCACAAAATAAACATTAGAGGTTGATAAAAATCACTTATTCACACAAATGTATCCCAGCTCATTCCAATAATAATAATTGACATCCATTCTTTCCAGTGTTTAAGTCGTCTTCCCTGGCTTCTTCTGGCTCGATGTGGATTATTCTACCAGCTGCTGCATGCCTTTCTGGCATCATTATCATCACTCTGGGTCTCTGCTTACTGCTAACAAGTAAGAGCTAAAACAAATACTGTTAAACATGGGGCTTTACTTTAATCTGTTGTGTTGACATATTGTAGCAGAGGCACCTGCTATATTAGTTTAGGCTCAGATCCAAACCAAACCTTCAAAAACCCTTTGACTTTTTCCGTATATACCGATGAATCTACAAAACTATCTGTGTTTGTGTCTCAGAATTTAAAACTATTTGTGTATACCGCTCCCCTTGCCAACCTAAAGTCATTTGCATACACATTATTGACTTACTCAATAAACGGGTGGGTTGAAATTATACCAGCTTCTATTTAGGGCTGTACCCATAATAGTTTTTTCATCCTGATCACCTGTTTCCTTATTACTCCTGTTTCCGCTCCCTTCTAGTTTACCGCAAGAGGAAAGAAAAAGACATCTGTCTCCCTGAAAAACACACAGGTACCTTATTTGTTTATTATGCAATGCATACTATTTGAAAGGCTACACGCTTATCTCTTACCACTTACCTCTCTGTTGTGCTGCAGACACTGAGGTCTCTGAGTTACAAACTCAGCTTACAGTCAAGGAAAGGATCCTCATATCTGAACCCCTGAAAATAATGAGAAGGACAACTTACTTTTAAAAGGAACCTGAAACAGCGCTCTGGTCTGGACCACTTCATGCATTGTACGGCATAAAGATGTTACAAAAACAAAAAGTTCTCGATTAAATCCGTTTGTTCTCCTTTATCAATATTTCAAATATTTTTGCCAAGTTGTTCATTGTAAATATGTGTGACGTGGTTGCTGCAATTTACTATGGTGCAATATGGTACGCTACACCATGGTATGGCACGGTATGAAGACCAAAATGAAGACAATCGGGCACCAAGCACTGTTTATTTCCTTGGAACAGGAGGCTATATTATTTCAAAACCCAGCTACTGATCTGGTCAATCCGTAAAAATTCGAAATCTGGTCAATGATAGGCTGGAAATCTGGTCAATGATAGGCTGGAACAACTGGAAATTTGGAGGTGACATCTAAGAACTAACCTATAATAGCTTCGGTGAGGCTAGAGGCCTGGTTATACTCCTGTGGCAGTGTGTCGCAGTGAGCTTGACGCAGACATTTTTGATTTCTGCTCAGTATTGAAGCGTGGTCTGCACTATATATGCTGAGCGTGTAGATACAGCCGAGGCGGTGAGGAAGTAGGGGCGAGTTTGTCCGACAACAGAGGGACATGACTGCGAATAATACCGGGGATCCAGGTGGAAAAATGGTCCAGCTCTTCTAGCTGGTCCAACTTCACAAGTTTTTTTCCACAATTTCGGCCATAAAAATAAAAAAAGCCAGCCTCCTGTCTGCGGTCACCTACAATGTGGGATAGATGCAGTGGAGTGTCTGCGAAAGAGGCAGGGACGTCTTTTTGTTCACTTTGACACCTACGCAGAGGACCTAGTTTCGAAGTATAAATCAGTTTTAGTGACTAAAATCCTTTGGCAGGTCACTGTCTGGTTATCCCCAATTCCTCTGTTGTCTATTATCACAGATAGGCTGGGCTTAGCTCAGAGAAGCTAGAGACTAGCATGCTGTTCATCCAATATAAAAAAAAAAAATACAAAGCTGACGAGAACCTCCAATTGCAACTTTGGATTTATTGTCATTTTCCTACTTTACCAAACAGATTTTACAACTTCTTAGTCTTCAGTCACCATTATGTTAATATTAGTAAGATAAATCGACGTTAAAGATGCCAAAGGTAGTGAGAAAAGTGATGGAAAAGCACTCTAGCGTGCCTATGTAGTTTCAGTCATCTGGTTCATGGCAACCACAGAACAGGCTTAAAGGAATAGTACACCCAAAACATGATTAGCCTTCATTTTCTACTCACCCCCATGCTGAACAACACTCTGGAGTACATTTTTGATATCTCAAATGCATCTGGAGATCTGGGAGGCTTCTTGCTGTCTGCTGACATTCAAATAATGGAGGTCCATAGCGCCCGAGGCAGAAAGGTCCATAAAAGTCCACAAAAAACTTGTCAATATTCCTCCATACTGCTCGTCCAATGTATTCCAAGTGTCCTGAGTGGGTAGCGTCCATAATTTACTCGAAACGAAGTCATTTAGAATGTTTTTAGAGCCTAAAGAGTAGTTTATAGGATTTCCTAAAAGCGCGTGCCTGCAGGTTCACGACTCTATGGAAACCGCGGCAGACCAAACCAGATGAAAGTGCGCATTCATCGTCTGCTCTGCCGATAATGCAAGCGTAGAAGAAGAAATGTGCTGTTTACCTGTGCAAAGAAAGAAACAACGAAAGAAAAATGTCTGAGGACTTCAGTGTTGAGGAAGAGCATGAGTTCTTTGCCAAGCTGAATGCGCTGGTTTGGTCTGCCGCGGTTTCTGTAGAGTCGTAAACATACCAGTGAATTTCAAACCCAACAACAGACTCATTTTTGTTCAAATTGCCTAACACATAGTCCATACATGACAAAAGACTCAAAAAACCCACGAGGACCCCGGGTGGGTATTTGATTGGCATCTCCCTTGAAAAGTGCTTAGTAGGATGGAACTCCATGCTGTTTAAAACATCAGAGCTTAAACTCTGATTGCTGTAACGCAAGTCTACAGAATTTAAATCATTTCTGGGAAAGGTGTCGAAACAACCTGCTAAAAGCCAGATTTGTACAGTGTAGAATTCAAATTGAACTGCACAGAGTGATCTGGAAAGGCTCCTGTAGAAACTGTTCGCAAAAGGGAGCGACATTCAGTACAATTCTTTGAGCTGATTCGGTACCTGCCTCTCGTTTTTTGGTGATGTCATACACGTCCCTGCATTTCATTGGTCCGAAACAATTCTGTATTGAGGGTGACCAACCTAGGCATTCTAATAACCAGGCTCTCCAAAGCAAATGCAGATAAGTTGTTGCCCTCCTTGGTTTCCAGCAATGATATCTCACTTTCCATCATTAATCGGATCAGTAGCTCGCTGTGGAATGCATGTAACCTCCTGTATCAAAGAAGTGGGCACCAATGAGTGTGCTACAGTCTTAATTTTGGCAGCATAGGTATATTCTTGTGCTGTACCATCTGTATGTTGGTAAAAGTTAAATGAATGCAAATGTTTTAAGTTAAATCATTTATGAGTCTTAAAAGCATATTTGTGTCTGTTCTTATTTAAAATATATTTTCAATAAAAAATATCAAAAGTGTAAAGCCATTTGAGCCTTTGTGAAAGCTGTGAAAAAGGGGCCTCTTTAAGCCAGATGATAAGCAGTGCACAGGAACAGGTGGCAGAGTGCAAAGCTGCTAATATGCAGATCTGAGGAATATAAAATCCACCTTAACACAACAGTGGAAGTAAAATAATACATACATTTAAGAGTTTTGCAATAGACACAAAACTACCAGCAGCAGGCTCAGTGAACTGGAGGAAGATAGAGAGGCTAGGGGCTGGGCAGGGAAGTTTGGGAATAAGTTCAAAATTTCAAAGCCAATAACCTTCTCATGACATTTACTGACACAAGACTTTTGATAATTAGTAACTTTTTGCCAGCAGAGAGCAGAATATATATATACTGGATCAAAAGTGGGATCAATGATATGTAGGATGCAAGTAGGAGAGATGCAGATGAGAAAAATGATCCTGTCAATTTCAGTGCAGAGAGGAGCCTGGACAGATGGCAGTGGTGCAGCAAAGTAGAGCAGAATCGTGACAATTATATTCAACAGTAGCTTAGAATGAATTGCAGCTTCAATGAACAGTAGTCAATACAAAAAAAGTTTACCCAACTAGTATTTGCCTTTGGCAGATAAAGGGACGCATTTTGGTTCAGCCCAGGAAACATCATTTGCAAGAGAAATGATCCAGTTTCCTGGTAAAATGTTTCACATTGTTTGTGTCAATATTTGCTTAGAGACGCGCTTTTTGCAGGGTTGCAAAATAAGACTTTTGGTTATTAGCGATCCCTTTCATCTCAGCCCTGTTCAGCCTTTGCCTGCAGCAGTTTGCAACAATGCTTATAATTATAAAGATGCCCAAACTCCTCTCCACACATGCACATGCAAAATGACTGTTTGTCTAACAAGTGGCATTCAATTCAATCTTTTGTGTCTGCAACAAAAGAAGCTTTTTCTGTAGGATACAAGACATGTTGTGATAAGGGAAATCAAAGCTACCCATTTCTTATGAAATGTTTAGTGCACATGCAATAGAATCAAATGTAATTTATATATACAACAACCAAAGTAAAAAAAAAACACAAAAAAGACCAAACCATTTTTCTATAGACCATAAAAGAACCACCCTGTGTGTTTTTGCACACAGTCTACACACTAACTAGATTTGAAAGCTTGATTGTGCACTTAAAGGTTAGCATGAGGGCAAGCTGTAGGCGTGACCCCTTTATAACAACATATTTGATATGTTTTGTTTGCCCCCTATACAGCTTTTAACACATCTTAAAGCTGCTGCAGTTACCTTTACCCTTTGTTACTTATATGGTTAAGATTATCTTAGCCAAGGCTCTCATTTAAGATAGAAGCCCATGCCTTTGTTGGTTTGCAGTTTGTGCTTACTTCTCTCCACTTTTAAAAACCTAACCTTGTCAGAAGGAACATGGGACCCAGAATTCAGGCGAGACAGGCAGTGATATATTCGAAAGAGAGTTTTTTGAAATAGCGTGCAGCAGCTTGTCTGCAGCGCGGGCTCACTGGAAACTCTACAGGAATAGAGGCTCAGGTCAGTCACTTCAAAACTTAAGCAATGGATATCAATGAGATTGAAAGCCACCAACCTGGCAAAGTTAAATCTGCCCAGAAGGGGTGTTGTCTAGAGAAGCATAACTCTGTTGCATTTTACTGAGCCAACACCAAAGATCCAGGAGAGAAGAGGAGCAGCGTCCTTCAGCAGCCAGAGCACGCATGGTAACCGAAAGATCCAGAAGGGTAATCCAAGCCATGGTCTGAAGACAGGTCCAAGGTTGGCAGCAGGCAGAATCTAGGTAACAGTCCAGAAAACACACAAAAGGTAAACAGAGCAAACAGGGGCGGTTGAAACCTCAGAAATCTGAGGAAAGAAACAGATCAGGAATTGGTAGAACTAAACACATGGAACACTAGAGTTAGTCTTTTTAGCTTTCTCAGAAAGCTAAAAAGCTTGATTAATTTGGCAACAAAGCCTTGGGTCCACAGGCTTAAGTAACGAGCAAGAACAGGTGGATATGATGAGAGCTAATGAGCAGATTGTGGAGCAAGCAGAGGTGAGCAACTGTGAAAGCTACTGGGTTCTCAAGATGTGGTGTATTTTTCTCCTCCAACATTAGATGTGCTTCCGGCAGGCATACTTTCCAGAAGCACACCCCTAAACCTTGCTTGAAGTTTGAGCTGCTGTTTTAGCCGGAAATGGCAGCTGATGATGCTTGTGTGTGAACATATGAGAGCTCAAACTGGTTATTTTACTATTCAAATTTCATGGTAAAAGAAAGCCACAAAACATCCTTAAAAAAAAAGAAAAAAAATACAACCTGTTATCTTGGTGCAAAAATGTATATAAACCAAAATAGTCTTCTTCAAAACATCACTCCACTTTGGACATTTTTTTCCATCTGGAAATGATTATCACTTGTTTTACATAGATTATGCAAGTCAGGGTTTGTCAGCAGAAGCTAACAGAAGTCTCTCTATATGCAGACAGACTGAAGGTCACCGCAGACGCAGCCAGTCGTGTCACTATGCAGTTATACAAGG